GTGTTACAGCATTTTCAATTACCGTCCAACTGTCGTATAAACCACCGGAACGATCGAATCATGTGACATTTACGAACTGATAATAATCATATTTCTGTCGATGTATTATTGTTTATGAGTTCGTGTGTTATACACAACGCAATGATACACATCATATATTGTACTTAGACAATATATTGTAAATTTTACACGCACGACCCAAGTCCCCAACGAATATCCATATAATATATCATTATATCGTACGCGCGTTCGTGTATATTATATGTATGTTACTGTTGCAAGTGTCTTACGTCCTCGTCGTTTAAATTATAAATCATAATATTATATTATGTACGTCGGGATATCGGATGTTATCCCGAATATCGGTCACCTTTGTGGGAAATATATTTTGTCGACGTCTGTACCACACGCTGATTAGATATGATTACCGTACGAAAGGTCCACGCAATAAATGTTAGGTATATCTACTCAATTATATTATTWTATTTCATAGCTATTGTGCATTGTATATATGTATAGTACATGGTATAATAACGTATATATTATTATTACACGCAGAAATCGGTATGATAATAATTATATTGTTCCCAAATTAGTAATTAATACGCAATTATTATTWTTTTTTTTTTAATTGTAATCAACGATTTATAAGGATACTGCAAATCAATAATAATAATTACTTTTATTATCATTTGAGTTACTATGGTACAAATGAAACAAAATCTTTAAGTCTGTATTTATTAATATAACATGACAGTTATTTTGAATATTAAATATTTGTAATTATAGTACACACATAATAATATTCAACAATTAACACGGCTTAGGAACTAATATATGTATACATCAAACATATATTATAAATAATATAGTCAACCCAAACACAATTTATTGACTATTAATCAAGAATGCAATAGTAAAAAGTTCAAATAATTTGAACCTAGTTTAGTAATTATTGTCAGCTATATATTTCGTCAATTATTTCAGTGTTGAACAAAAAATGTTATAGTATACACTCAGACTCCATTTTCTTAAATTTCATACAAATTGACCAAACGCAAACAACTAAACAACATTTTACTTTTGCGTTTCTTGATGCTGATTTYTAATTAGATTCCGTATTACACGCCATACGCGTATACGTGACTACACATTATAATATATTGTGCGCTAAGTATACATTTCAACATTTCTATTTCAATATTTCACCCATAAAACTTAAATTATCACAGGAMATTATTTCGAAACTATATCTTATTCGATCAGAATAGAGTCTACGTATATATACAGTTTAATCAACAGACAACAGAATCAAAAACGACGGCGATACTCGAACTCGAACATATACAGCATTTTMACCCTAAAACTGGCTAAGACTAACGACTTGTTTTCGTACAGATGCACTTACAAAGAAAAATTCGGAAATCCGTGAAGCCAATGAAACCGTTTCAACCTCTAAACTGACGACTCGTTAGCATACAACTATTCAATTTTCAATCTTAACTAGAATACTGCATGTAATGATAATTGATATGTAAGTGCATTGTGTGTGCAAAATAATATATGCACATATCCAAACGCGTATACCTACCAACTCAGTCATTGAAACAATACAACAAATTCATTTAGAATAAAATTTAAAATAAAATTCTATAAAAAATATTATTTATATTCAACAAAAAGATACCATAATATAATAATTATACTGTGTAGATTAGCTGCTTGCAATAATGTTTTAAAGTAAAAATGTTAATACTATATATTCTATATTACTATAACTGCCTCCAATGATTGGGTGGCATATAATTTTATATTACGAGTTTCCTCCCAAAATGTTCATTCTATAAAGTTTATATTATATGGACCATTACTTGATCATATGCATGACACGCAACTCAACTATACAGGGTGATTCTTTTATCAAAAAACACTCAATATTTATTTTTTTTTCAAAATTGTAGATTTACACTGTTCTTGAATTGTTTATTTTTTTTTATATTTTTCACCCTTATATTTATTATATAAACCACTATCAACTTTTGATTTTCAAATGGTAACCTATACTTAAATTTTCATAAATTAATAAAGCTATTTTTTTTATTAATTATTACGTTAAAATTTCGAATTTAGCGCTAGTAGTTTATGAGTTATAGGTATTTAAAGTTTAGATTGGCAGACTGGAGTGGTACGCGGGGTTACGCCGCAAAATGTTTGTCCACTATACTCCGCTTGTTTAAACTTAAAATACTTATAACTCATAAACTGCTCGTCCTATATTCGATTTTTATGAAACAAAATTTTTAGAAAAAGATTCTGCTTTGGAATATGAAATTAAAAAACAATGTTGCCATTCAAAAAAGTAAAAAACTTAAAAAATGATAAGGATAAAAAATATTTAAAAATATATTTTTTTAATAAAAGCGTTGGTTTTTTAACAACTTGAAACTATGTAAAAAAATATTTTGAATAAAGTCAATACTTTTTTAAATAATGAGTGTTGTTTGATAAAAGAATCACCCTGTATAGTTGAGTTGCGTGTCATGCATATGATCAAGTAATGGTCCATATAATATAAACTTTATGTCAAACTAGCCATCATATCCAATAAAGTTGCAACCATTCTCGACATAATTCCCTATACGACGACTTTAAATCCCACATCAATTCACTCCATCCAGGAATAGTATGACTAGTGACCACTAAAATAAATAGGATAAAAAAACCCAACATTTAGATGGGAAAACCCAAATCTATCACGAAAAGAAAAGATTATCTTAAACAGACCGAGAATAGGCCACACCAGACTTACCCATCATGGATTCCTTATGGCAAAAGAAGATCACCCTATACGCCAAGCATGCGGTTATCATTGCACTGTGCAACACATAATGACGGAATGCTTACTAAATGACCAAGTTCGCCACACCCTCAACAGTCAACATAACCCAAACCCTGGACACAATACGTCTTGGACCCAACCCGGACCAGAACAAGATAG